TTACAGAATGAGTTGAGAATCAGTTTGGCCAATGTCCTTTTTCCCTTGATTTTTTTTCCACCTTAGACCTGTCAATGACTATTCCATCTTTCTCAAATTGGTCTTTCACAAAAGCATCTTTTTCATCCTCAGTTTTGACATGTGCTGGCCATCCAGTGGCCTCTATTTTCAACGCCATGTTTTTGCGCACATAGGCAGAAAAGAGCCCATCTTCACCTGTCTGTATTGCTTGACACCTGGATACTGATGAACTTTAAAAACTTTAGTTGTGACGTAACTCTTTTGAAGAGCAACTTTCACTTCAGGAGCCCGCCAAGTTCCTGTTTTATTGTTACCGTGATACAACATTTGTGATTTTTATTTTCAGGACACGTTCTACACACTAAACTTATTGCAACATTTGTAAGGCGGGACAGGCAGGAACAAATCAGGATAAGGTAAACAAATTATGTAAACCACGCACCGTTCCACAGTTCAGGTTTGGGCATTTCTGGATCATTTTCAAGGATAATTCTAGGGTGGCCGAACGGGTACGCCATTCGCAGCATTGCATTTGGACACAAATAACAGACAAGCTAATTTTTTCATGTTTACTTAAATCAGCCTTGTAATAACATCTTATAGCCGAAGTTTGGCCCCCACAGGTGGCTTCTCGAAAATTTAGGGGTTCAACTCTTTTTACTGTATTCTTTTCGAAGAAAGCTTTTACTTGCGGATCGTGTTTCATATCCAGCTTAAATTCAAAGGCCCATTTTTTAATGACAACATAGCCTGCTTCTCTAAATGCAGCAGAACTTTCTTGATTGCGGAGATACGGTTCGTGATTTCCTCCCCGGAGCTGCTTTCTGAACTTTTCATTTTTCATGCAATTAGGACAATTGTGAAAGTAACACCCATGATAATTGTAAATCTTTTCCTCTTCCGTGCCATCAGGGAGCCGAACTTTGCAAGAACCATCTACTTTTCTATTTAAAACTATTTTTTCACGCCCATTTTCAGCAGTCTCTATTTTACCTCTGTTCCTGCACTGTTTGTCACCGAGGTGAAGTCACTCCAGTCCCCCCCAAGCCACCCTGGTCGACCAACAGCCCGCCATCACGATTATGGAGGCTCAGCTGCGGCTCGTCCACGCCGCCATGAGCCGCCTGCACGCCGAGCTGTCACGCTTTCTGGTGGGCTGGACTGCGGCATCGCAACACAACCTCTCACCGGCCCTCCTCACGCCCAAAGACTTGTACACCTCCCTTCGGGCCATCCAGGGCCAGTTGACGGCGGGCCGGGCGTTGCTGCACCCCGTCGACCTGGACTCGCTGGGGGCCCACTAGGCAGCCAGCCGCGGGACCACCGTCAGGATCAACGAGGGCAATGCTTCATATTGATCTTCCGGTCACGCACCCCGGCCTGGTATGTAACATGCTCCAGGCCGCGCCGCTTCCAGTGGCCACGGCGGCTCCGGGAATCTACGCGGACATCATCCCGCCATACCCGTTCCTCGCGGTCAGCCTGGATCACAACTTGTTCGTGGAGTTAGACCACGAGGACCGCCGGAGCTGACTGCTGAGCTGACAATAAAGTACAAATATCTCTGTGTTATTGAAGTATAGGGGTTTAGGAGCCATGACAGGAGTGCGACTTTGGAACCTTGTCGAGGTATCTTTACAAATTCAGACAACCAAACGCCGTGGTGAAGGCAGCGTGCACCAGTGACGAAGTTGGCTTGGAATCTTCGATTTCGGCGATGTGCTGGTACCGAACCTGGAGAGTTTCTTCATCAATCGGAATCACAGCCGTAACCTTGATCAAAGGGTTCTGAACCAATTCCAGCAGCTCTCCATACGTTTTCGTGGTCTGTGGTCGGTGTCAAAGTTTTTTCTTCCGGTTTACCCCCAGAAACAGAAACGAAACAGAAACAACTCGTAAGTCATTGGCTCCATGAATGAATGAATGACATCAGAAGAAAAAACTTTCAGAATGAGTTGAAAATCAGCTTGGCCAATGTCCTTTTCCCTGGATTTTTTTCCACCTTGGCCTTGTCAATGACTATTCCATCTTTCTCAAATTGATCTTTCACAAAAGCATCTTTTTCATCCTCAGTTTTGACATGTGCTGGCCAACCAGGGGCCTCTATTTTCAACGCCATGTTTAGTGCGCACATGGTCAGAAAAGGACCCATCTTCACCTGTCTGAGGGTTGTACTGCTTGACACCTGGATATTGATGAACTTCAAAAATTTTAGTTGTGACGTAACTCTTTGGAAGGGCAACTTTCACTTCAGGAGCACACCAAGTTCCTGTTATAACCCTTTCTTTGTTACCGTGGTTACAATAATTGTGATTTTGATTTTCAGCACACGATCTACACAGGGGGACAATAAACTTTTACAACATGTGTAGGCAGGACAGGCAGGAACAAATCAGGATAAGGTAAAAAAACTTATGTTCACCACGCACCGTTCCACAGTTCAGGTTTGGGCATTTCTGGTTCATTTTCAAGGAAAATTCTAGGGTGGCCGAACGGTTACGCCATTCGCAGCATTGCATTTGGACACAAATAACAGACAAGTTAATTTCTGAAGTTCTGAACCAATTCTAGCAGCTCTCCATACGTTTTCACGAAGTCTGTGGTCGGTCTCAAAGTTCTTTCTTCAAGTTTACCCCCTGAAACAATAAATAAACAGAGACAACTCGTAAGTCATTGGCTCCATGAATGAATGACATCGGAAGAAAAAACTTACAGAATGAGTTGAAAATCAGCTTGGCCAATGTCCTTTTCCCTGGATTTTTTTCCACCTTGGCCTTGTCAATGACTATTCCGTCTTTCTCAAATTGATCTTTCACAAAAGCATCTTTTTCATCCTCAGTTTTGACATGTGCTGGCCAACCAGGGGCCTCTATTTTCAACGCCATGTTTAGTGCGCACATGGTTAGAAAAGGACCCATCTTCACCTGTCTGAGGGTTGTACTGCTTGACACCTGGATATTGATGAACTTCAAAAATTTTAGTTGTGACGTAACTCTTTGGAAGGGCAACTTTCACTTCAGGAGCACACCAAGTTCCTGTTATAACCCTTTCTTTGTTACCGTGGTTACAATAATTGTGATTTTGATTTTCAGCACACGATCTACACAGGGGGGACAATAAACTTATTACAACATGTGTAAGGCAGGACAGGCAGGAACAAATCAGGATTAAGGTAAAAAAACTTATGTTCACCACGCACCGTTCCACAGTTCAGGTTTGGGCATTTCTGGTTCATTTTCAAGGAAAATTCTAGGGTGGCCGAACGGTTACGCCATTCGCAGCATTGCATTTGGACACAAATAACAGACAAGTTAATTTCTGAAGTTCTGAACCAATTCTAGCAGCTCTCCATACGTTTTCACGAAGTCTGTGGTCGGTCTCAAAGTTCTTTCTTCAAGTTTACCCCCTGAAACAATAAATAAACAGAGACAACTCGTAAGTCATTGGCTCCATGAATGAATGACATCGGAAGAAAAAACTTACAGAATGACTTGAGAATCAGCTTGGCCAATGCCCTTTTCCCTGGATTGTTTTTCCACCTTGGACTTGTCAATGACTACTGAATCTTTCTCAAATTGGTCATTCACAAAAGCCTCTTTTTCATCCTCCGTTTTGACATGTGCTGGCCATCCAGTGGCCTCTATTTTCAACGCCATGTTTTTTCGCACATACACTGCAAACTTGTCTTCTAAGTACTCACTTACAAGTGCATGCTTGCAAGTACACACTTACAAATGCATGCTTGGCCAAGTACACTCTTACAAATGCATGCTTGGCCAAGTACACTCTTACAAATGCATGCTTGCAAGTACACACTTACAAACGCATGCTTGACGCATGGAGTTATACAGCGTCAAGCATGCGTTTGTAAGTGTGTACTTGCAAGCATGCATTTGTTAGTGTGTACTTGGCCAAGCTTGCGTTTGTAAATGAGTACTTGCAAGCATACATTTGTAAGTGTGTACTTAGTAGACAGTTAGGTTTGTAGTGCGAAATTGAAAAGAGTAATCCAGAGAAGCTCTGACTCAGAAGAAAAAGAATAAAAACATAAGTAAGAAATGGTAATTTCTACGGGAAATATACGCTGTGGATTCGCCTCCGACCTTATCCACTGCGTATCATTCGCGTCAAAACTGTCATTTCTTGCTTCCGTTCTTGTTCTTCTTCTTCCGGGCCCAGAGTTCCTTTGGAACTTCAGATAAATGTCCAGCAACGACTTCATCGCTGTACGGCGAGGGTGAATAGACCATTCTAGTCGTGGCCGAGTGAAGAACAAGAAGAATCACAAAAGACTCGTTAAGGCCATTTGGAGTGCGTATTTTCACTGAAAATATGTTGTATTTACTGTAACATTTTCTCACTAACTTCTACCAAGCAAAGAATCTTAAATATTTAAAGTTAAAGCGCTAAAAAGTTGTCTTTTGTAATCCTTGTTCTTCACTCGGCCACGACTAGAGTGGTCTATCACTCAACTTACTAGTGTGCATGAATGCGGATGAGTACACCTTCCAAACCTGACAAATTTCAATATTTTGAACGCTTCCAGTTCTTACGTAGCGTTTCAGACGCCAGGCAACGGCAACACCTATTCACGCTAAGATTCAGTCACAAATGCTCGTTTGAATCAAATGAGGATACTGAGTACAGACATGGAGACAAGCTACCAACACGTCGGGAGACGCAAGGTTTACGACACCCTCCGGTATTTCAACACTTTACGACTACCGTATGTCTGTCTCATTCCCTCCATACTACATGACCTGGTGACAGGAACCGGGACCTTGCGTCTCCCTACGTTAGTAGCTTGTCTCCATGGTACAGGCGAATCTGTTCTCATTATTATTCAAATGATTCACTTCTCTCTTCTCGTGTTACGGAGGAGATTTGCGTGTGAGGAGTAGGAGATGCCCATACATTACGTGACGCAGTTTTGGATTCCCTAGTCTTCCCGCGTTACGCTAGCCCATTCCCCAGCCCCTCGCCTCGCCTATCGTAACGCCCTGTGTTTCATTTGAACGTGATTCGTTGGCCCCTGCTTACTCGCGGTGCTCACATTTCACGTGTAAAGCGAAACGCCACGTTGGCTCTGACATCGTTTCCCCAATGCTCAGAAGCCTAGGGACCGTCCATTGATTACATCACGCACTTTTGGACTCTTCTTGGCGGAGCCACCTTAGGGGTCAGAACTTCTCACCGTAGTGTGGTGAGACTCAAATTTTCACCTCTGTAGCGGTGAGAATCGAAATTCTCGCGTCATTAGCAGCGAGAGTCAGAATTCTCGCCATGAAGAGGTGAGGTGAGAAATTTTTAAAACGTCACATGGGCTTGCAAGAAAAATTCACTTTAAAATTTGATCAGAATTTTGATTTTTATCTCAAGACTGAGAAATATTTCTCGTCTAATTTTGGTCGCCAATCTCACCCTTCAGTTTTCAGTGTTCAGTTTATCGGACGTCAATTGTGCGAAAACGTCATATCGTCAATGAAGTGTCACCTCTCGTACGACTTTAACTCAGCATCCCGCGTAACATCTAGAGTCTTTTCCGCTCGTCATCGACTAATACTCTTTATTCTTGGTTTCAATTAGAAAATCATCTTTATTTTTAGGTGACATTTGACGGAGACGGAATGCAGCGTGTCTCTACCGAGGTGGAGGTGTCGGTTCCTTCGGGCGTGCTGAAAGATTGCAAGAGGTCGCGGTCCAACGTGGTGAACCCAGTGGCCGTCTCCGTGGATGGGCTCCAGCTCGAGGTGGGTGGTCGTTGTCAACCGCGTTTCTCCTTCTTGATTGCTAACATGTTATCCTTCACCCTAAGCCTCTCATTGACTGACTATTTCTAAGTGGCAGACGCATTTCTGTAAGCAACCATAATACTTAGTATTTCGTTCTTAAATAGTTATAAATTTATTTGTTATTTACTTAGTAAACGATAACAATCAGTGCAGTAATAAGCGATTGCTATGCTGTGGCACAAAGGTACCGAAAATTCTGTTAATTTTTTTTCGCCAAGATTCTCCGTAGCCCATGTATCAGTATGCTTCGTAGGACCGTACAGTCTTCTCCGTGGGACCTGGAAGACTGTGGAGTCCTTCGAAGATCACTGTAAGGTTCTAAGGAGATGTCTGTGCGTTCCCACGGAGAATACTGTTGTAAGGTCCTACGGAGAATATTGACAAGGAGGCTACGGAGAATTACCACAAGCTGCTTACAGAATTTTACGTTGCCTTTTGCCAGTGAAATACTAAGAAAAAATACTAAGTATTATGGCCGCTTACAGAAATGCGTCTGCTAAAGAGAAATGGTCTGAAAAAGGCGGAGAGCGTTTCGTGATCGTTTCTGACAGCTGACAACTTTTTTTTCAGGTGTCAGTGAATATCAAGCGAGATGATGAAAAGAAGCTGACCATCACACTGGACCTTACTGGCGTCCCAGTTCCTAATGAAGTTCTCGTGGATGGCGATGTGCTAAAATATGTAAAGGTCAGTATCATTAGAACATTCATTTTTAATTGTTTATCGTGCCGCGCAGGTGGGGAGCAATTGTCCCTTCATCATTTTAAGAGATTAGCCAAAATTTTAATGCAAGTCCGAAGGTCATGGCGGGGCACGCCTTTCTTCAGATTATATGAACTTTTCGTGCGATGTTGGGATGTTGCACATACTTGGGAGAAAAGTGCTGTTTAGACCGCTTAAAGGGACATACTGAAATGTAGGGTCAGTGGGGGTAAATATGGGACACGTGGCAAAAATGGGACAGCTGATTCTTAGTCAAGATTTGACATTTTTGAACGCATGACATACCAGATGTTATGTTTTTATTTACAAAATAACATTTGCTACGGCACAAGTTCTAAAATCTCGATTCTTGACTAAGAATCAGCTGTCCCATTTTCACCCCGTGTCCCATAATTAACCTAACTGACCCTGTGACCGAACCGAAAGAGGGTGATACTTTGTTGCATCACAGACAAAGCTGATTGATGCATCCCCAAGCTAAAGTAGGGACATTCTCGCTGATGTCTGGCCTTTTATCGGTCATACGTACATTTAAGTATGACCCTATTTTCGATTATACTTTTTGTATCACCGAAAATTGCACACAAAATCTATGTGTGTACTCAGTACACACTTCTAGGTCCGTGCTTACAAGCATGCTTTAAGCACGCACCTAGATACGTGCTTAGGCAAGTACACAACTAACTCGAAGTGCATGCTTGTAAGCACGCACCTAGAAGTGTGTACTGAGTACACACATAGATTTTGTGTGTGGTCAGATGTCTCAACCTTTCGAATTTCAGTGCATGATGGTGGGTTCTAAGTACGGTCTTCTTGTTTGCGCAGCCGCGGAAGGACGACGAGTCGTCGGAGTCGGAGGAGGACTCGTACGACACGGAGGACGACGTGCCCGGCGCCAAGCGGAAGGTGCGCAAGTTCTCGGTGAAGCAGACGGGCAACGGACGCCTGGTCCGCATGCTGCTCTCGGACGCGTACGCCGTCACGGCCAGGCTGACGGTGACGCACGTGCGGTCGCTGGGCGCGTGCCTCCACGTGGTGCGCGGCATGGGCGAGCTGTGCGATGTGGTGCTGCGCGCCGCCGGCAGGGACTTCCCCGCCCACAAGGTGAGTCTACGGTGCACTGCAAGAAAAAATACAACAAAGATTCACAAATTGCTGGCTGATCTTTTAACAGGATTTTTTGCACTATCAAAGTACAGCACAATACACAGTACAGCACAGTACAATGGAACCGGCATGACGAGTGCCGGGCAGTCAAGGCCTCGTTGTGGTTTTTACAATTCTTGTCGCACTTCCTACGATCCCTGTTGTGCTTTTATTGTACACTTGTTGTTGTACTATTCACACTTTTGCAGTGTGTCGCCGCGGTGGCGCGCACGTGCACTCTCAGAGCCATACTGACAGTTTTGTCTGCACTGTTTATTAGACATTACTTCTACACTCCTACACTACACACCTAACTGTCAACTAAGTACACACTTATAAATGCATGCATTTTAAGTGAGTACTTAGTGGACAGTTAGGTTTGCAGTGTAATTTCCTACTGGGAAATGCTGTGCAGGGTAATTCTTTCCCAAGTCACCCGAGGTCCCGAAATCGATGTCTCCGATTTCGACGAAACTTTGTGGGCGTGTTCCCTATGTAGCAAAGAGCTCCAGAAAAAATTTTCAACTTTTTTGGTCGGCTCAAAAAATTTTAATCACGTATTTTGTAAAAAACACTGAAACCTGCACTAAAAATTTGTTTATTGCCTGAGGGCGACCTGCCCGGTGGATTTTTCTTCTTTTCATGGTACTGAAAAAAAAGTCCCCGAGAGCCACTTCAAAAGTCACTTGTTCCAGGAGATATGGACCAAAAAATTCGTTTTTCGCGAATACCCAAAAAATGCATCCGAATTTTTCGATGATAATTTTTTTTTAGGAAGGTCCTGTGGTGGTCTATCACCCTTATTGGTTTTGGGTTTGGCCAATGGAAAACCGAATAAAAATTGCGTTTTCTTCGTTTTTTTCGCAGTTTTTGGCCCATAGTATCGCCATTTTAAGTCGGACTTAATGAGCGCCATTAGACTTTTTTTTCGCCTTTCCAAGACGAATCGATTGATATAAGGTGAAGTCAAATCGGAGTATTTTGAAAAATAGCTTTTTTTACGCATCTAGATTAGTTGGATCCCGATTGTAAAAAGGGCGATTTTTCAAAATACTCCGATTTGACTTCACCTTATATCAATCGATTCGTCTTGGAAAGGCGAAAAAAAAGTCTAATGGCGCTCATTAAGTCCGACTTAAAATGGCGATACTATGGGCCAAAAACTGCGAAAAAAACGAAGAAAACGCAATTTTTATTCGGTTTTCCATTGGCCAAACCCAAAACCAATAAGGGTGATAGACCACCACAGGACCTTCCTAAAAAAAAATTATCATCAAAAAATTCGGATGCATTTTTTGGGTATTCGCGAAAAACGAATTTTTTGGTCCATATCTCCTGGAACAAGTGACTTTTGAAGTGGCTCTCGGGGACTTTTTTTTTCAGTACCATGAAAAGAAGAAAAATCCACCGGGCAGGTCGCCCTCAGGCAATAAACAAATTTTTAGTGCAGGTTTCAGTGTTTTTTACAAAATACGTGATTAAAATTTTTTGGGCCGACCAAAAAAGTTGAAAATTTTTTCTGGAGCTCTTTGCTACATAGGGAACACGCCCACAAAGTTTCGTCGAAATCGGAGACATCGATTTCGGGACCTCGGGTGACTTGGGAAAGAATTACCCTGCAGTCATAATTCTAAGCTGATTCTTAGCACATTACGACACAAATTTGTCATAATGCAGAGAAATTCGGTTGTCTATTGCGGTTTTTTACTTGCAGTGCTTTGTACGTAGTGAAATCTCAATTTTGGAGATAAGTGAGGCTATTCCCCTTCCTCCGCGCGCGGTAAGACTCGGTCCGATGTTAAACTCAGGTTCCTGCAGTATAGGAGAAACCAGGACGGTCCTGGGAAATTCAAGGACCGAGTCTTACCGTGTGCTTCTTAGATCATTCAGCTTCTCAATAGTAAAATGTTTCGTCTTGCAGGTGGTGCTGAGCGCGGCCAGCCCCGTGTTCCTCCGCATGTTCACGGGTGACTTCGTGGAGGGGCCCGGTGGCGCTGGGGAGGGGAGCGCCACGGCCACGGCGAGTCAGGCTCGTGTCGTCGAAATCAAGGAAGTGTTCTCCGCCGCTGCCTTCGAGAAGTTGCTCGAGTTTCTGTACACCGGCAGCGTCGCCGACTTCAGCGACCTGGAAGTGGAGCTGCTGGGGCTGGCCGACCGGTACATCGTGGAGAAACTGCGAGAGGCGTGCATCGAGCGGCTGATGGAGGTACACGCGCTTAAAACCTTCCGAAGTATTTTGAGTACACACTAAAGTCCTTACGGATAGCGTGTTTGTAGGTTACGGATAGTTTTGTGCAGCCATATTACGGATCGAATTTTGTTTGTAATACGGATGTTTTTGTCTGTAATACAAAGATTTGGGAATCCGTATGTTACAACGAAATTATCTGTAAATTACGGACACCAAAACCTTTGTATTACGGATAAAAACATCCGTATTACACACAAAATTCGATCCGTAATTTAGCTGCACAAAACTATCCGTAACCTACAAACGCTTTTCGAAAGGGCTTTACTGTGTAAACGTAAGGTACGAAATATTTAGAAAGACTCTTATTGACTTTTTATTTCTTGCCGTAAAGGTTTTTGTACCATTTTCTCTCTAGCTATACACTATTTTGTTTAATGTCTAATGTATGTAGAACCGGACTGACTTTTTGTCATTTGCAATTTACTTTTAAATTCCTTCATTATCTATTGACAATAACGATCTTAATGGTGCATAGTTAAGGGGAAAATAGTACATTTTATGTTTGCTCACAAAACGCTCTAAGCAAGAGAGGAAACAGTCCATACAGGTCTGTGTGTACGGAGTATTTTCTTTGAAAGTTTATGTATGCTCAAAGTACTTTGGAATGACTACACGCTAAAAGATCCTTCGTTGTGGTGATCAACTTTATTCGATATGGCTTAATTCGATAACTGCAATCGCAAAGTCGATACCTACAACCAAAAGCTGGTTTCCACGACTCGACACTTGTAAGAGGATAACAAACTCCGCATACAAAGTTGTCCTCCTCAAGTGTCCGGTCGCAGCAACCAGCTTGGTTGTAGGTAGGATTGATTTTCCAATTTGCAGCTACACAGTAAACTTCTTACGGATACATCCTATCTGTATTACGGACATTTTTGTGCAATTGCAATTACGGATAGATTTTGCTTGTAATACGGATGAAATCATCCGTATTACAAAGAGTTTTACGTCCGTAACATACAGACGAAAATATCCGTATAGTACGGACGTAAAACTTTTTGTAATACGGATGATTTCATCCGTATTACAAGCAAAATCTATCCGTAATTGCAATTGCACAAAAATGTCCGTAATACAGATAGGATGTATCCGTAAGAAGTTTAGTGTGTATCAAACAATGTTGGTTCAGCACAAAAAGTTTTTTTTTTTTTTTTCGTTTTCTTTTTCTCTCCGTTCTTTTTATTACCAAGATTCTTTGTGAATTAGTTAAGGTAAACGATTAACAATTAATAAGCAGCCTGTGAACGAAGTAATGCTTTCTCATCCTAGAAACGTGACATCACGTTAAAACGACACTCTACAAAAAATGTCCTGTCAACTCCGTTAATTTATTACCAATTTTTGCTGTTATGCAATTCACGGCGTTTGCTGCTAACTAGTTCACGGCGTTCACTGTGATCTCGGTTACAGTGTTCGCTGTGATCTGGCCACAGTAAACGCCGTGAATTGGAGCCTGATTTGCAGCACTTCGGTGCTCAGCGGCGTCAAACTCACAGTGTTTACTGTGATCCAGATCACAGTGAATCGCGTGAGCAGATCACAGTAAACGCTGTGAATTGACCTACAGTGAAAACTGGTAATAAATTAACGGCATTGACATGACATTTTTGGTAGAGTGCGAATGTGCCATTATATTTCCTAAAACACGTTTCTGGGATGAGAGTGTTGTGCAAGTTGACGCCTCCTCGTAAAATTCGCAGATTTTTCTTCTGTATTGTCATTGGTCTTCCCTGTCGACAGGTGGACAAGGAGAGGGTGGTGGCCACGCTGCGGGCCGCGGTGGAGTGGCCGTTCGTGCCGAAGGAGGTCCGTCTGGAGACCACCAGGGCGCTGCTCAACGACTGGGAGGAGCTGACCGCCACCGCCGCGTGGAAGGCCTTCCGGACCGCGCACCCCGTGGCTGCCGCGCTGCTGGGCGACGCCTGGGAGGTCTACGAGAACTAGATTGCCTTTTCTCACTTTTTTGGTGACCTTTTCTGCATCAGCCGTTTTACCCTTTAACTGTCATTGTTTGCGTTTTAAATTTCCTCACATCCCAAGATGGGCCTACCATATCGCTGTACAACTCGAAAAGCGTACATTGTTAGCACTATGAAAACATTTAATGTTAACTTACAATGTTCGCTTTTCGATTTGTAGGGTAATAGTTATTTTGTCATTGCCACATGTTTTATACGTATGGATCTCGGTCAACCAATTGGGTTCCTTTCTACTGCCATGTTGCTGTTTCAACTATCTTTTACCTGAAAGTTGAGCTTACTACATCACTTGCTTGCAAGGTTGTCATTGATGAGTGTTTCATATATGAGAATTAACTTTTTTTTTTTATTTTATTATTATTTTAAATATCGCAGTTCGTGCCACCACCATGGCGAGATGCAGAAGGATATGTACTTACCTTACGCTGTTGAAGTCTTTTCACTTTTGTTTCAATTGACACTTTGAAATAAAGTTTGAAATAACGTATTGCCTATTTCAATCATGCACCAAGTCCCTCCTGATACGACGCTAATATTACATTCATCACTTTTGTCCAGGGTGTACGCACTTTCCCACACTCTCATTCCGGGAACGTGACATTACGTTCAAAAGAATGTGACAAAATGTCACATTCGTTTGAACGTGAACAAGCTAATTTATGGCTGATTCAATTCGAAACAAATATGATGCAATGCTCAAACGAACGTGACATTTTGTCTCATTCTTTTGAACGTGATGTCACGTTTCTGGAATGAGAGTGCAGTAGACGGGTCACTCCGTCTATTATCGACGCGGAATTCACGGAATCCTCAAGATTATAGAGTGTGAACAGTACGGTACCGAAACGAATAGAATCAGGCTAGATTCTATTCGATCTCGAATAACTAGAAATTAAAAATCTTTCGTGGTTGATCTTTGTGCTATAAGGTTGGTTAACGGATGAGGGGAAAAGTCATGAAATGCAAGAAAAGTTAGAATCAGCATTGAACCACACAGTTAACTGATAAAAACATTGCCGTAACTTAACGACACATTTGTTGCCAATTTTATCAGTGACAAGATGTTTTTAAGGGGAGGTTCTGGTGAAAATGCTACTTTCTCCTAAATAGGTTTCACTGTAAATTTGTTAAAAATTTGATGTCTTACCAAGTAATAATTAAATTTTTTCAATGGGGAGGCACAATCTGTGCGCTGAACCCAGTCGCAGAGCCATTTTCTTCTATTTAGGCTCCTTGCGCATACTATTTTGTCGTAAAAGGTTGGCCTTGACATTTTTCACTTCTTCGATTTATTTTTAAAAGATGCCGGCATGCGGAAATCAAAACGTAAATTACATTTTTAATCGCAAGCTTTCTAAAGAGTTCTTTCTCTTTTTTTTGTATTTGGTATTAAAAAATTGTGCTTTGGTTTGATGATTCTTCGATGGCTCTTCGAAAATCGAAACATAATCCTGACAGGCTGAAAATACTCAAAACACAAGTAAGGAAGTAGAAGATACTCATCAGGCCACTATGTCTATCATGGGATCATAGCTTATCCCATTCTTATATACCCAGGCTACAAATGAGTCATTTCTCCGCTATAGTCCTTCAGACTACGGAGTGAAATTTACGCTTTCCTCCATGGCTCCCAAACCAAGTCTGTGCACTGTGGCAAAAAGCTACGGAAAATTCTGTAAACAGCTTGTGGTAATTCTCCGTAGGCCCCTTGTCAGTATTCTCCGTAGGCTCTCACAGTATTTTCCGTAGGACCGCACAGTCTTCTCCGTAGGACCTGGAAGACTGTACAGTCGTACGGAGATCAGCTGGTAGAGTCCACGGAGAAGGCTTGCGGTCCTGGAAGACGTGCAACGCGTACGGAGATCACTGTGGCTGCCTGACGGGAAGACTGGCGGCCTACGGAGAATCTCACTGTCGGCCGGCTAGAATCGGTCGGCTGACTAATTGAGACCTGCTCATTAAATTCAATTAGAGTTGGAGGTATGCAGCATACGTAGCATATAGTCAAATTCTCTCCGTCACGCTGCACTCTTGCTAGTTGTCTCCGTGGGCCGACATCAGGATTCTGTCTAACTCCCACACTCTCTCGTCAGAGCAGCCGTCAAGCCGTATCAGTACCACATGGGCAAGCTCGAGTGGTTGGTCCGTGCTATCGGAGAATGCTCGCGTGCCTGTCCCTATCTCTAGCGTAGAAAACTGTACAGTCCTACGGAGATCACTGATGAGGTCCTACGGAGAAATGTCGTCACGAAGACTGTACAGTGTACGGAGATCATGTGAGTCTACGAGACTGTGCCACGAGAATCTGTACGGCCCTACGGAGAATTCTGTAAGAGCCTACGGAGAATATTGATAAGAGGGCTACGGAGAATCCTGGCAAAAAAATTAACAGAATTTTCCGTACCTTTTTGCCACAGTGTGCCCGAGCTGAAATTTTGTACAGTTACTAGGACCCAGGAAAGGTACTTTCTCAAATTTTTTCAAAAGTATGTTTTTGAGATCTAGAAAAAAAAATAAAGTCCAACTTTTTTCAAAAGTAAAAGTTTTTCCAAATTCTTGAAAAAAAAAAACCAAAAATGTTGTCCTTACGTCCCCTAAGATCTGGTAAAATTTCAAGTCCCTAGGCTGGTCAAGCCCTTCCCATCGATTGTGTACCGCTGGTACACAGCGGGTGGAAACTCCCTTAGCGCGGCTGGGACCATGTCTCGGGCTGCTCGCCACGGCCCGGTCGGCCGCCCGGTGCCCGAGAATGGGCTGCACCGGCCTCTATTATTGCTTAGAAATCAATTAAAAATTCGACTTTTGGAAAAAGTGGCCATGCTAAGCCACAATTCAGCCCCCGGCAACTCCCATGCCCGGGCTGTCCACACGCTCGCCGCGCTTTTTCGAGCGAGGGGGACATCACTCTTAAAAACTGTGACCCGACTACTCCCTGTTACGTTCTATAACGCTATTACGTAAGGCTTATTACGCTCAAAATTATCCATATTTAGCCAAAATCGGACCCTAAATAGGGAAAATTTTAAAAAAATTTGGCTATTACGCTATTACTATTACGCGTAATGCTAGGAATCGGTGACCCGACTATTACGCGAGTGATTTCCCCCTCGTTTTCGAGCGCCGGAGCGCTGGCGACGCCGTTCCGCGACATTTTAAGTTCCAGTACATATTGAATATCAACTAATAGAAACATATGATGACCTCTAGGCGATGTAAAATTTCACGCAGAATCGTTTTCTATACTCTGTTTTCCAATATAATGAACGGATCCGGAAATAAATGCAAAATATGATAACGCTACGACGCCCATTTTGCCCGCCTCACATTTGCGAAACCACCGCACATTTGTGAAATAATTTGGATCAGTTGTGCGTGTATTTACTGAGGCCATCTCGTTTGTTTTTTGTTGTTGAAATCTTTGTTCTGTTTGCAAGTATTGTGGCAAACAATTAATTTTTGAAATTAATTTAAAATTTTTAGAGGATTTTCTATTTATTTCTCTGAAGTTTTTTTTTAATATTTCAATTGAAATTTTCACAAAGACCGTAATTTTTGAGCCTGAACTTGGCACACAGAGCGAGTGCGGTATTATTCAGAGGAAGCTAGTGCCACACAACGAGGCTGTGTTATTTCATATCAAAGATTCAACCAGTGGCTTGTTCGCTCAAATAAAGGCTTGCTTTCTTAACTGTATGTATCATTTCTTTTTCCTTTGCCTCACAGGACATCTTCCCAACCAACACCGCTGCTGTATTGATGCGGGCAATCAATGGGGAGAAAAATACAGATTATGGGCCGGAGATTAGAACTTTTGCTTTGACTTTAAACTACCTATCACCTAAGGGTTACGAGTACGTTAGGGAACAGTTCAACAATGCCCTGCCCCATCCCTCCACAATTTCGAGGTGGATGTCAGCTGTGGATGGTAGGCCAGGCTTCACCAAGGAGGCCTTAGCAGCTATCGCTGTTGAGGTTGAGCAGGCTCGCAAAAGAGGCTCTGCTGTTTACATTGCTGTATGTTGCGATGAAGCGAAATCCGGGAGGGACTGAAACAAATGGGAGATGAAACTGTTGGCTTTATCGAAATGGGAGAACCACCATTGCCATATAATGATAAAACAACCAGAGCTTGTGAGTCATGGACCTTCATGGCAGTTTGCGCCAATGGGTATTGGAAAATTCCATTTGGTTACTTCTTAATTAATGGCTTAGCTGCAGAGCAGAGAGCAAACATAGTAAAATGGCTCTAGAAATGGTACATGAGACTGGGTCACTAGTGATATCTCTGACTCATGGTGGTAATGAGGTCAATGTGTCAATGGATGTTGAATTGGCGTGTTCTTTTAAACCAGACAGCCTTACTTCGTGATTCCCTCATCCAGTCACTAATGAAAAGGTCCACGTTTTCTGGGACGCTGTGCATATGCTGAAACTTTGGCGAAATATTTTGGGGTCCAAAAATTTAATAGACATGGATGGAGAGGAAATCGACTTTAAATACATAAATTTGTTACATGATTACCAAACTTCTGAGGGTCTGCTCGCCGGCAACAAATTATCTACAAGACATGTTCATTATTTTCATGAGAAGATAAAAGTTGCATTAGCGGCGCAGACACTCAGTGAAAGTGTGGCTGTTGCTCTTGAAATTTTGTGTTATCATCCTAAACTAAAGCAGCCTCAGTTTGCAGGTGCTGGACCACTCATAAAATTTATTAGAATAATTGATCCTTTGTTTGATATTTCCAATAGTAGGAGTATTGCCGGAAAGGGCTTCAAGGCGCCATTTGATCGTAACACTCAAAGTACTTATTTAGACTTTTTCAAAAAAGCCACTGATTACACAAGGTAGGTTTACGCCAGACCGCGTCTTGTCGTAACAGGCTTCGCGATGTTTCGCTGCCTGTTCCTCCAATCCGCGCCTGGCGTACCTACCTTGGCCTACGGCGCTAGCCTGCCTTCGGCAGGCAATGGCTTGTCCATCGTCGGTTACTTCTAACTTGTTGA